GAAGGAAGGTTGGGCAATCTACTTCCGTAGAGATACTGCCTCAGAAACCCAAGGAGGGGTCGCTATGAGTCGGGTCCGACTGGACAGCATATAATAACAACAACAACAACACATAGCATAAGAATAATCTGGAGACTTCTTGGAGGAGGTGGGTTGGGTAAGACATGGAGGAAGAAAAGGAGACAAAGAGAGATAGTGAGCACAGAAAGGCCTCTCCTGCATGCAGGCCCCGATTCCTGACCCTGTCCACCATGTATGCAGCACTCTCCTTGAAGATTTTGAAGTCCTTTTCTGCCACACTCTGAGAGGCATCCAGGAGCAGATAGAGGTTCAGATGACCTGAACGTTGGATTTGGATTTTACGGCCCAGGTTTTCTGGGAGAAATACAGAAAGAAAGACTTTAGATATCCACCTCCTACCTGCAGTCTAGCCAAGAGGATGGGGCCTCCTCACCTTGCATCCTCTCACCACTTCTGAGCCCACCTGAGGTTCCTCAGCTTCTAGGAAGCTCCCTCCGTCCCTGGTACCCTGCTGCCACTATGTCACATGCTCACCATTCTTCTTCTGGATAGGATTGGTGACTCCAAGTATGTGGGTCAAGGACGAGCCCAAGGCAGGGGCCACATCTTCAGGGAAGTCATAAGAGTAGGGTTCTGTGGGAAGAACCACAGGGGTGTCGGTCAGAGCAGCGGCTGCAGAGAAGCTCAGGAATCTCAGGTGGGACACGACAGCTACTCACGACGGCAGATAGCCTCCGTCCCACTCCAGGCTCCATTGTCCTGGCACTCCCGCTCTGCAGACCCTGTCAGCACCAGGTTGGAGGAGCAGCGGTAACTGACCTTATCCCCAAGGTTGAAGCGGGAGCCTGTTCGCACAGCACCCACCGAAATACCTGGGTTCGGGCAGTCGCTGTCTGTGAATGAATGAAGGAAGATGGATGTAAGCAGGGCACCTCAGTCTCCTCTGGCCAGTCAGCCCTGCTCACCACCCTCTCCCTCCAGGATCTTCCTCCTCTCCAGATCCTCAGACTCTGAGGGTCCCTTGGCCTACCCTTTGGGAGACACCAGAACTGTACTTCCAAGGGGGTATAGATGGAAAACTCTGGGTAGTGCAAAAGTCTACAACTCAGCAGCCTAATTTGGCAGTTGAACCACCTTGACTTGAGCTCCAGCCCTGGAGTAGCCCATGTCCCAGAGCCCCAGGGAATATGTCAGCTGTTGAGCCCTACACCTCCAATAAGAATATTTGCATTTCATAAAGCCACAATGAGACATCACTACATCTACTTTACAAAGAATAGATGAAAAGAAAAGGATGGATTATTCCAAATGTAGGATGGGATGTGCAACAACCATCACTTTGTTATATTCCTGGGGTTGTCAGTTGGTGAAACCATTTGCCAGCCTACAGCTAAATATATGCCAACCTGTGACCCAATAATTCCACTCCTAGATATTTACTCAAGAGAAACAAGTACAGATGTGCACCAAAAGACATGTACAAGAATGTTCAAGGGCTTTATCTATAATAGTCCAAAACTGGAAACAACCCAAGTGCCCATCAAAAAGACAATTGTAAGTAAATTATGGTATATTCATATAGTGGAATATTACACTGCAGTAAAAAAAAAAAAGAACACGTTACTGATAGACACAACATGGATGAATATCACAGATATAATGCTTAGTGGAAGAAGCCAGATGCAAAAGAATACATTCTGTATTCTTTCATTTATATGAATCTCAAGAATAAATTAAACAAATCTATGGAATTAGAAGTCAGAAGACCGGTTACTTTTGGGAAGGGATTTACTGGGTGGGAGCAGGAGGGAGCCTCCTAGGGTATTGGAAGTGTTCACCATCTTGAGTGATGATTACATAAGTAGTCACATATGTGAAAATTCATCAAGCTGGAACAAATCATAAATTTGTACACTTTACTGTAGGTAAACCATACCTCAGTTTAAAAATACATCATATTTATGTTTGAATGGATGAGTAGTTGGGAAAAAGTCATGGGCCTCAGTAGAGAGCAGTCAGTTGAGCTGCGGGGTGAGGATATGATCTTGCCATCTTGAGGACATTGTGTTTTCTGTATTATGTTCTCAAAATGATGATCCTGGAAGCACTCAAATGTGGCTGTGGAGACTCCTGGGAACCCCACTTCTGTCAAGCAGAGCCTTCATCATTCACAGGGGCAATGACGGCCATGACAGAAGCACATGTGGTGCTTCCCAGGGTTCAGGGGTTGTTCTAGATGCTTACTAATACTGATTCACCTAATCCACATGAAAGGAGCTCTGGTGGTGCTCCCAATGTTAGCATTGGGCTGCTAGCAAAAGATTGGTGGTTACCAAAAGGTGCTCTGTGGGGAAAGGATGAGGCAGTAGGATTTTGTAAAGATTTACAGCCTTGAAAACCCTATGGTATAGTACTATTCTATCCTCCAGTTTCACTGTAAGTCAGAGTCGCCTTGATGGCAATGGGTTGGGTTGGGTTTGGATTCCACATGGCAACCCGATGAGGTCTGCCCTACTAGTATCCTCATTATACAGATGCAAAGACTGAGGCTTAAAAAGTTAAATAACCTTCCCAAAAGCAGTAAAGGGCAGAGCCGGGCTTTGAACCTAAACCTGACTCCAGAGGTAAGGCACTTAAGCAAAATACTTGACTCTCAATGTATTTTCCCCTAGAATAATCCATTTGGAGCAGCTAAGGGAGACAAACTTGTCTGTCAGTTTATTATACTGTGGTGACTTGCATGTTGCTGTGAGGCTGGAGGCTATGCCACTGGTGTTTCAAATGTCAGCAGGGTTGCCCATGGTGACCAGGTTTCAGCAGAGCTTCCAGAATGAGACAGACTCAGAAGGAAGAGGCCATCCACTTCTTAAAGAATTGGCCAGTGAAAACCTTATGAATAGTAGTGAAACAGTGTCTGATGTATTACTGGAAAACTTTATAAATAGCCCTGAAACATTATATGATAAAGTGCGGGAAGATGAGCCCCTCAGGTCGGAAGGCACTCAAAATACAACTGGGAAAGAGCTGCCTCATCAGAGTAGAGCTGACCTTAATGATATAGATAAGGCAGACCTTTTGGAACCTCCATCTGCTGACATGGCATGACTCAAAATGGGAAAAAACAGCTGCAAACATCCATTAATAATCAGAACATAGAATGTAAGAATTATGAATCTAGGAAAATTGGAAGTTGTCAAAAATGAAATGGAACACATAAAGATTGATATTCTAGACATTACTGAGCTGAAATGGACTGGTTTGGGTCATTTTGAATCAGACAACCATATGATCTACTATGCTGGGAATGACCAGTTGAAGAGGAATGGTGTGGCATTCGTCATCACAAAAAATGTTTCAAGATTTATCCTGAAGTACAATGTTGTCAGTGATAGGATAATAGGATAATAGGACACATTCATACGTCTACAAGGAAGGTCAGTTAATACTACTGTTACTCAAATTTATGCACCAACCACCAAAACCAAAGATGAGGAAATTGAAAATTTTTACCATGAAACGGACAGAACATGCAATCAAGATGTGCTGATTATCATTGGTGACTGGAATGCAAAAGTTGGAAACAAAGGAGAACCACTGGTAGTTGGAAAATTTGGGCTTGGTATAGAATAATGCTGGAGATCACATGATAGAATTTTGCTAGACCAATGACTTATTCATTGCAAATACCTTTTTTCAACAACACAAATGGCAGCTTTACATGTGGACTTCACCAGATGAAGTACATAGGAATCAGATTGACTATATCTGTGCCAAGAGATGATGGAAAAGCTCAATATCTTCAGCCAAAACAAGGCCAGGAGCTGATTGTGGAACAGACCATCAACTGCTCATATGCAAGTTCAAGCTGAAGTTAAAGACAATTAAAACAAGTCCACAAGAGCCAAAATATGACCTTGAATATATCACTCCTGAATTTAGAGATCATCTAAAGAATAGATTTGATACATTGAACACCAATGAAAACCAGAGGAATTGTGGGATGACATCAAGAACATCATCCATGAAGAAAGCAAAAGGTCATTAAAAATACAGGAAAGGAAGAAAAAAATAAATAAAATGGATGTCAGAAGAGACTCTGAAACTTGCCCTTGAACAAAGGGTTGCTGTTGTTGTTGTTATGTGCCATTGAGTCAGCCCCAACTCATAGCAACCCCTCCTTGGGTTTCTGAGGTGGTATCACTATGAGGTAGCTAAAGCAAATGGAAGAAATGGCAAGATAAAAGAGCTGAATGGAAGGTTTCAAAGAGAAACTCGAGAAAACAAAGTCGATTTTTATCATGAAATGTGAAAAGACTTGGAATTAGAAAACTAAAAGGGAAGAACACATTCAACATTTCTCAAGCTGAAAGAACTGAAGAAAAAAATTAAGCCTCGAGTTGCAATATTGAAAGATTCTATGGGCAATATATTGAATGATGCAGGAAACATCAAAAGAAGATGGAAGAGATACAGAGAGTCACTGTACCAAAAAGAATTGGTCGATCTTCATCCACTTCAGGAGATGGCATATGATTAAGAACCAATGGTATTGAAGGCAGATGTTGACACTGCACTGAGGGAAGTGGCGAAAAACAAGGTTCCAGGAATTGACAGAATACTCATTGAGATGTTTCAACAAATGGATGCCATGCTGGAGACACTCACTCGGCTATTACAAGATATTTGGAAGACAGCTACCTGGCCAACTGACTGGAAGAGATCCATATTTGTACCCATTCCAAAGAAAGGTGATCTCACAGAATATGGAAATTATCAAACAATATCATATCACATAAAAGCAAAATCTTACTGAAGATAATTTAAAAATGGTTGCAGCAGTACATGATAGAGAACTTTCAGAAATATAAGCTGAATTCAGAAGAGGACCTGGAACAAGGGATATCATTGCTGATGTCAGATGGATCTTGGCTCAAAGCAAAGAATACCAGAAAGATGTTTACTTGTGTTTTATTGACTACGCAAAAGTATTCCCTTGTGTGGATCATAACAAATTATGGATAACATGGAGAAGAATGGGAATTCCAGAACACTTAATTGTGCTCATGAGGAACCTGTACATAGACCAGGAGGCTGTCATTAGAACAAAACAAGGGGACACTGCATGGTTTAAAGTCAAGAAGGGAGTGCATCAGGGTTGTATCCTTTCACCATGCTTATCCAATCTGTATGCTGAGCAAATAATCTGAGAAGCTGGACCATATGAAGAAGAACGTGGCATTAGGATTGGAGGAAGAATCATTAACAACCTGCGACACTCTGACAACACAACATTGCTTGCTGAAAGTGAGGATGACTTGAAGCACTTACTGATGAAGATTGAATAAGACAGTCTGCAGTATGGATTACACCTTAGTATAAAGAAAACAAAAATCCTCACAATGGGACCAATAAGCAGCATCACAATAAAAGGAGAAAAGATTGAAGTTGTCAAAGACTTCATGTTACTTGGTTCTACAATCAACACCAATGGAAGCAACGGTCAAGATATCAGATGACATGTAGCTCTGGGCAAATCAGCTGCAAATGCCCTCTTTCAAGTGTTGAAGAGCAAAGATATCTCCTTGAAGACTAAGGTGCACCTAACACAAGCAATGGCATTTTCAATCTCCTCATATGCATGTGAGAGGTGGACAATGAATAAGGAAGACCAAAGAGTCAATGCTTTTGAGTTGTGGTGTAGGCAAAGAATGCTGAAAGTACCACGGACTGCTAAAAGGACTAACAAATCTGTCCTGTAAGAAGTGCAGCCGGAATGCCCCTTGAAAGTGGGAATGACCAGATTTTGTCTCACCAACTTTGGTCATGTTATAAGAAGGGACCATTCCGATGCTGGCGAGGTTGTGGGGAGATTGGGACTCTCACACACTGCTGGTGGGACTGTAAAATGGTACAACCATTGTGGAAAGCTGTATGGCGATTCCTTCAAAAGTTGGAATTAGAAATACCATTTGACCCAGCCATTCCATTACTAGGTATATACCCTAAAGAAGTGAGAGCCATGACAAG